GCTGTATAATACTTCACTGTGTGAAAGCATCCTAATTTATTCACCCAGCTCACTTTTGATGGGCATTTTGGTTAGTTCCAATTTTGCTATTACAAATAATGCTGCAATTAGAATCTTTTGCAATTTCTTCATGTATCTTTGCCAGTGTACCTCCGGAGTGGATACTAAGAAATGGGACTGCTGGGTAAAGGAAAAATGGGTGTATAATTTCATTAGACATTGCTAAATCACCCCCTAACCCCTCCCCCGCTACACACACAAAGGGCTGTGCCCTTTTGCCCACCAGAGCACTGCCAACAAGTTTGGGAACTTATGCCAATCTGATAGTTAAGAAATGGCATTAGAGTGCAAGTTTAATTTGCATTTCTCTATTACAAGTGAAGTTGATAATCTTTTTATAGGTTAAGAGCTATTTGCAGTTCTTTTTCTGTGAACTTTTGTTCATATCACTTGTCCATTTTCATATGGGGTTGTTTGCATTTTTCTTTTCCTTTTTAGAAGTCCTTTATACATAAGGATATTTTAACATGTTTTTTAAAATATAGTTTTATTCATTTCAGAGAGGAAAAGAGAGGGAGAAAGAGATAGAAACATCAATGATGAGAATCATCAATCGGCTGCTTCCTGCACACCCCCTACTAGGTATTGAGCCTGCAACCCAGGCATGTGCCCTGACCCAGAATCAAACCAGTGACTTCAAGGTTAATGGGTCAATGACTGAATATCCATTGAGCCACACCAGCCGGGCTATACATAAGGATTTTAACCCTTTGTCCGTGATATAATTTGTAATCACTTTCCCCAACTATATTTATTTTTTCATTGATTCTTTTGGACTCATCAGTTATTTAATCATTTCATCCACACATAGAAAAAAACCCCAATACCTATTTTCTTGCCTAATGGATTTGTCTTGTCTACTTGTATTGGCTAATACCTCCAACACAATTTTAAAAAACATAAAAGAGATAGTAGGCATACTTGTCTTATTCCTTACTTTGTAGGGAACACTTTTAGTGTTTCCCTGTTAATTAAGATACTGGCTTAAGGATGAGATATTTATATTGTAAATTATTATGTTAGAGAAATAGCAATTTGTATTTTATTAAGGTTACTTTGATTTTATTTTAGCATAAATGTGTAATCAACTGCAAGGTAGAAGGTTCTGTTGAGATGCCAGGATGATACATGGTTCTGGATTCTAGAGATGGTTTGGGGCATGGCGGTCTCCTTCAAGTCTATTTCTCCCCTCTATTGCATCAAAGTCCCTTATATTCCCAGGTTTCTCAGCCAAGCAGTAAGAAACAAAATTACTTTAAAGAACTGACTTCCCCTATTCTTAATATGGAAGAATTTGTTCTAAGTCAAGTTTTTTTTTTTAAACCCTCACCTGAGGACATGCTTTGACAGAGGGAAGGAGGGAGGGAAGGAGAGAGGGGAAAAATACTGATGTGAGAAAGAAACATTGATCAGTTGCCTTCCATATGCTCCCCAGCTGGGTATCAAACCCACAACCCAGGTATGTGCCCTGACAGGGAATCGAACCAGCAACCTTTTGGTGCACAGGACAACGCTCAACCAACTGAGCCACTCTGGCTGGTCTAGCCAAGCTTTAATGCCATGGAGTGTAAAAGGGTCTTGCTGGTTCTTCCCTGCTGCCTCCAGGTAGAGCAGGGTTTCTCCCATACCCACAGCCCTCATTCCTCCTCACCCACGTTCTGCTGCAAACCTGTTTCCTCTCATTCACTGGGGCCGTTAGCATCTGGCCACAGTTTTGTCTTCCCCTAAATGATTTCTACACCATGGGGACAGCTGTCCCAGGTCTCAGGCATCGTCCTCACAGGAACCACCCCTTTGGGAAGCTGTGCTTCAGTTGTCCATTCTTCACTCACAGTCCCTTTCTTTTCAGCTTTCATAGTTGACTGTGCTCAAGAGTGACTCCTTGACCTTACATGGCTCCCAGCATCTCTCCTTGACTGGCTCCCCCTCTTTACTTCATCCCCTTCCAGGTAAGATCTGTGGCCCTCCCTTTAACTCCTCATGCCAGGATCACTGGTTCCCTGGCTCCATGCCCAGCTGCTGACCGCGAGCTGTATTGGGGTGTGCCAGTACTCCATTGTTAGCCCCAGCAACCATGTGTTTCTCGGACATCGTAGAACTGCATGAGTCGGTGTTATGTGAGTTTATGCTCCCCACCCACACCTGGGGCCCATGCCAACTGTCAACACACTCTCCATTCAATCAGCTCTCCACTTTCCACACTGACTCTTTTGAATCTTCCTCACCTTACAGTTTCTTAGGCACAGAGCCTGGTTACTTATTTTTACTGGGGGTGTTTATCAACCATCTCTTATCAGGGACGATTCTAGTTCCTGGGATACAAAAATGAACAACACGACACCCATGGTGTTTACAGTCTTGTCTATTATTCAAAAAGGTGATGCTAATTGGTCTATACTTGTTACTGTCATGCATACCCTTTTCTTTTTTAAAAAATATATTTTTATTGATTTCAGAGAGGAAAGGAGAGGAAAGAGATAGGAACATCAATGATGAGAGAGAATCATCGACTGGCATGTGCCCTTGACCGGAATCGAATCGTGACTTGCTGGTTCATAGGTCGACCCTCAACCACTGAGCCACAGTGGCCAGGCATGAATACCTTTTTCAATCTTTCCCTGGCAACAACAATGTACTAAGTGGGTACTGTGTGCTCTAGGTGCTGAGAATATCTTGGTGACAGGACACAGCCACCCCCTCACAGGCTGGGGGAAACAAACAAAATAATAAATCTGTTACATCAATCATGAAGCAACATGAGACAGCAGAACAAGAGACTACAGTGCCATGTGGAGATGTGCTTCTTAGGCACAGACAAGACTTCCAGGAAGGCCAGAGGTCTAGGAAGTGAGGGTGAGCCCTGGAACAGCTGGGCGAAGAGTGCTCAGTGGGACTCTCAAGGAGCACAATGGGTTCAGGGCCCAGTTGTGCATGTGGGCACCGGGCCAGCCTTGTAGTAAGTGCCACCTAAGCCTCCCTGAGGCCACCATGTCACACCACAACCCAGCTGGGCAGAACCCTGAAGGAGTAAAAGGCTTGCCTGGGTCTCATTATCCTGCAGAAACCTTGGTTCCTCTGCCTGGGGGGATCGCTACAGACAATCACAGAGCAACAGTCTGTACCAGAACATCCCCTCAGAGCATTTCTCAACCTGGATGAACACTGATGTGGAGACATGACCAACCTAGCACTGAGCAGTTGGATGGCTCCCCTGAAGTCTCATAGGAAGAAGACCACGGCAGGCCATTTGGAAACCTCATGGTGACCTTCTCAAAAGACGTCCACATTTGCATCAAATCAAATGGAAATAATAATGAATCTTCTAATGGAGATAAAAAATGGCTTTTTGTCCCCACTGAAGAATACTGATTTTTTTAAATCCTCACCCAAGAATATGCTTATTGATTTTAGAGAGAGGGGGATAGAGAGAGAGAGAGCGAGAGAGAGAGAAACATTGATGTGAGAGAGAACATTGATCAGTTGCCTCCTGTATGCTCCCGCAACCTAGATATGTGCCCTGACCAGGAATCAAACCTGCAACCTTTCAGTATATGAGACCATGCTCCAACCAACTGAGGCACACTGGCCATGAGGGAGTATGCCATTTTGACAGGGGAAAGGGCCCCTCAGATCTTTTTGTCTTAAGATACTTTTGAGTGATTTATGAAAAACTAAGTACTTTATAAACATATGCTTTAATTGAAAAGGAAATGGTCCTAAAACATATCACATGAAAACCATGATCTATTTAATGGAATTTTTATTGTATGGCAACATATGTGACAGACTTTTTAAGGAAATGTCATTTCAACCATTCCATCTCTGAAAAGAAAATTAGCTTTTGGTTTTCAGGGAAAGCCCTGGCATTTCATGGTTACTGTTTTGGGGGCCTCGCCTTGAGCCACCAGAACCTGGCACCCACCGTTCCTACCTTTTTCCTGTGATCCTGGTAGGCTTTCTCCCATGTGCTCTGCAGGTACTCACTTCTGCAGGGAAGTGTCAGCCGGGGTGCCCTGCGCATCGCAAACAGCAACACCAACCTGCTCCCTGCAGAGAGAGACTGGTTCAGGCCAAGGTGCTACCCTGGAGAGGGCTGTGTTTGCTCGATCACATGACAGTTGCCAAGGCATCTGAGCTAAGGAGAAAGGAAAGAGGACAAGAGGATCGCCTGAGCGTGCTTAACAGAAAATTGAATATTCTTCCACTCCAATGAATATTTTCTCAAGAGATCTTGACTGGCTTAGTGATGCCGTTTTGATGACCACCCCTTGCTTCTCCCAGAATAGGTCAAAGAATTTCTCCTCCAACTAACTTTTCTCCTTCCCTTCCTTCCTTCTTTCCTTGCTTTCTTCCTCCTCTCTCCCCTTGTCTTTTCTTTCCCTTCTTCCTCATGTTTTCTCCTTCCTCCCTCCTTTCCACCCTTCTTTATTTCCGCTCTCTCTTATCTTTTTTTTTATGACCTAATAATCCCTTTATTTGGAAAACAACATTTACACATATGGTGCTTTGATCACAGGACAAAGTTTAAAAATGGGGCGTGCTTTGCAAATGTCAGAGTTCTGCTGTGGGTGGTCATTTCATCTTCCACTTTCATGTTTTTCTTGTGAAAGGTCCCGGCTTCCACGCCTCGGTCTAAGCTGAGGCTTGTCCCACAGCTGGTGCACTTTGTTGTCGTCAGCGTTTACGTAAACCAGGCGGGGCTGGAAATAAGTGGTGTGTGATTGGCCATTCAGTAATTGTGTGCTAATTAACATGTCAGCTTGAACTGTTTCAAAAACGCTGGAGGATTCAAAACGCTCTGTCAAGCTTTGAGAGTGAAAAGGTTTTGAGAAAACTCAGGCCAATATATGTGTGGGTAAAATAGCACAGTTGGAAAGAGTCACCATCACTATGGTATGTGTGGGTTTCGTTCGCTTCGGAAAAGCCCCCACCCCCAGGTTAAGACTATACTTTCAGGGATCATTTCTATAGTTTGTCACTAGAGAAGTTTCTCTGAACGTGTAGAGCACCCGAAACCACGAGGAGGCACAGTGTTCTCTCCTGAGCATGAAGCTGGCTTTTGGTGTTGCTTTTGCAGCTGCCACCAGCCATTGATGATCGCTCTTCTCTCCCACTGGGAGAGTAAGAGGGAGAGGACGCAGTCTGAGTGGTTTTTCTCGAAGTTCTGGGGGTGGAAGTCCCAGATGGAGGTGTTGGCAGGTTTGGTTTCTCTCAATGCTTCTCTTCTCTTGTTGCCTCTTCACATGGCTGTCCCTCTGTGCTTGTGGGTCCCTGATATCTCTCCCTGTTCTTATTAAGGACCCAGTCAGATTGGCTTAGCAATTAACTGCCTCATTGTAGCAGAATCTCTAAGTATGGTTACATTCTGAAGTGCTGGGGTTGGGAGTTTAACATTTGAATTTTGGGGGGACACAATTCAGACTGTAACCCATGGGACACGCACAGCTGCAGGATCTCTTATCTTTTAATAATCCTATCTAATAATAGACAAACATGGTAATTGACCGTACCTTCGCTACAAACTCCCATTGGCTAATCAGCGTGATATGCAAATTAACCACCAACAAAGATGGTGGCTAATTTGCATACTGCAGGCAAATCCCACTGCGCCGCCCCACCTGGGGCTGGCGGCAGCTCGATCCTGAGCCTCTGCCCGCCCCAGCGTGGGATCCGGGCCTGCTATTTGCGACCCGGGGCGGCGGGCGTCCCTGTGCGACCCGACCTGGGGCGGCTGGATGGGGCAGCAGCGATCGGCCGGCCCACCTGGGCGTCCCGTGTGCGACCTGACCCGGGGTGGCGCCCCAACCCCCGGATCGGCCCTGCCATGTGCGAGACCCGGGGAGGCGGGGCAGGCATCGAGGGATTGGGCCTGCCATCTGCCACCCGGGGAGCGGGCCTAAGCCAGCAGGTGGTTATCTCCCGAGGGGTCCCAGACTGTGAGAGGGCACAAGTGGGGCTGAGGGACACCCCCCCCACCTCTCCTCCCCTGCCAGTGCACAAATTTTTGTGCACCAGGCCTCTAGTTTATAATAATTTGGACAATTCCAAATACTTTTATTTGCAATTTAGGTGGCAGATCTTCATTAATTTTTTTTCAATTAATTTGAGGATTAGTTATGGAAAGTTTTAGCCATTTTAAGCCCTTCCTTGCTGAGTGGCTTTTATCTGGTTGGGATGGGTTTTCTATGAGACAAATGAAGTAAAAGTCATGCTGGCATATCTGTTGAGTCATACAGCTTTGTTGAAATCATATGCATCATTTTGGAAATGACATTAGAAGAATTGGTTAACAACAAAGTAGCAATATTATTTTCATTTCAGAATTCTAATCTTCATGACATTACAGTATCCATTACAGAAAATGTTGTAGTGCAGAATTAGTGAATGGGAACTCATTGTTCAGTTGTGTGCAAATAAAGAAAAAGGGCATTTTATGAGAAATCGTGTTCCGCCTATTAGCATGATTCAGTGCCTGTCGGTCTGAAAGAGAATCAATCAAGCTTAAACTGAATCAGACTTGGGAAAAATAAGATGTGAATTAACAGAATATGATTGTCCCTTTTTCTGCTTTAGGCAGCTGAGTTACCTGTACTTTGCTGGTCTGATGATCTTCCAGACTTTGGCAAAAACCTTTGTAGGCTACTAAAGTGGTTGATATATTGACAGTTACAAAACAGTTTGGGTTTTTCAAAGAACTAATTTATTTTAGTTCAGAATTACCCACAAGTATTAACTTTAGAAAACTATGCATGTGTAGAAGATAGATGAAACAATTACTACCAAAAAATACAGCCAACACTTTAAGACATAAGACTTCATTAAGATTTCTTAGCCTACAAAATCTATATGTCATATTCAGAGGAATTCCATTAAAATAATTTCCTTTACCCAATTATTGTCATTGGTCAAGTCCAATATTAAGTAGACGTTCAAAAAATAACTGCTATTTTAATGATGATGGAAATAATGATATGGTTAATGAATGATTCCCCAACTGAGATGTTTTTGGTTCAGACTGTGGGGCTGGTCTTTCCATTTCCTGAATCCTCTTTGCCACATGTGCTGAGAAACTTCTGAAATGCTCATAGTTGCTGCCAGTCAACTGACGAGTGGAGGCAGTGGTCTGTCCAGTTTACTCACATTCATGTGGACAGACCAGGGGTTGAGGGCAAAATAGAAACTGGAGGGTTTTTTAACTAATGGGAGCACTCATAACGTGTTGATACACACATTTTTTTCAATGGCTCCTGTCAAAGAAGTGACTTCAAGTAAGAGTCCTAGTCATCTATGTTTATTCTTAACTAACTAACCACTCAAATAACATTTGCTATTTGATTAAACTTGATGGTAGGGCCCCAAACAAAGGATCTGGAAAAATTTGTCATGCCCCCTCCCTCCCCCACCATGAACCGGAAAGACCATCATCGACCATGCATGACCTGGGTTTCAGTGCACCGACCCTCACAGGCTCAAACTAAGTTTTGGTCCTTAACCGTGTTCTTAACGAGGTCAGGCCAGAAAAGTCAGTTAGCCAGTATCTCTGTGGAATCTATCCTGAGGAAATAAACTGAAACACTGATAAGGATTCAAGTAATTACTCATAAAAGTGGAAAATGGAAAAGTCTGGAGTTTAATTAATAGTAAGTATCCATGTTAATTTCTACAAATGTTCTTTTCCTTATTCCAAGATTGAATCCATGATACCACTTTGCATGTTATGAATTTTTTATATTGAGCTGGGTTTGAACGTTTAATATCACAGTTTCTACTCATACCCTGCAGAAAATAAACAACAAAACCTATTTTTCATTTGATTATTCAGATAATAATTGTGTGTTTGGCTTCAGCCTTCATCAGTGTTTTGGCCCAACAATGACTTGAATATTGAGTTTATTAGAAATGTCCAGAAATATTACCAAGTGATAGGTATCCTGAATGTGTGAAGACCATTACATAGAACTAACTCTTGTACTGTTTATAGTATATGGTACAAAGCCTTTGTTATATACTATATATCCATTAAGCCCTTAATATTCATAATTCTTTCTGTGTGTCCCATGACTATAACTTTATGTTCAAGCTTTGATTTTTATGTTCCTCTACCCTCCCACAAGAGCAATGAGATAAAACAAAGCAACAGACTTCGTTCTTATTCTTATTCCTCAGAACAGAATATATAGAGAGATCAATCAGTTGTCTTCCATATGTGCCCCGACCAGGGATTGAACCCAAAACCCAGGTATGAACGGGAATCAAACCTCCAACCTTTGGGTGCACAGGACTATGCTCAACCAACTGAGTCACTCTGGCAGGGCTGAAGCAATGAAGTTTTAAGGTAAAAAACATGACAGGGATGTCCCTGTGACCTGCAAGAGGTGCTTTTAGTATAAATTGGATATATCTGTTGGGTATTTGATCATAAGGAGTTCTAGTTGCCAGTAATTAGTAATGGTGATGTTAACTGTAGCCTTAGTTATGCAATCACTTCTCAAGAATGTTAGTCCTGAAAAGATTCACTGAGGTCTATTAATCCTACAAGAGAGGAAAAGCTTAGTAAACAAACAATGGATTTTAGTGAAGAGCTCCGCCTGCGATGTCCACATGATGGGATATAGTGCAACCGATACTATTACAATCAGAAAGATTGTAAACCCAATAAAGCAAGTACCAAATTGTTCCTCCTATAATATGTAAGAATCAAGTATGTTCACAGAGCTAGAAGACATCCTAGGAAAGTTAATTTGTTATAGGTGGAGATAAAAAGATTTTTAATTTTGAGAATGGATTTTATCATATTTGTGTGGTTAATTTTTTAAAAATCTATTTGATGTGCAAATCAGGCCTCGATCACACCATTTTCAGCCTACCCTCTTCTCCCTGATGACACTTTTCTTATCCAATGAGCTTTGAGAATTCAACTAATACATAATTACCACCACCACCACCACTACTCCCCCCCCCCCCCCCCGCAACCCCCACTTATCCCTTCACAAGACAGAGTCTCTTTTAAAGCAAACAAGAATCTCCTTGGCTTCTGATGTCTAAACAGTGCATTCCTGGGTCCTCACATTTTCTGGTCATGTGGTCAGTGAATGTGTCTTTGCTTAATCAACCCCACACTGTTTTCATGGCGTCTGACTGTCTTAGGGCATGTGCACAGGGGAGCCCACAGATCAGGAAAGCACTGAACACTGTGACAGTTTCACGGCCACAGAGTATTCCTGGGAAGAATGTCTGGAAAGGATCCTAAGGGCACTGGTCCTTCTTTTTCCCTCCTCCTCTCCCAAGCTGGCCTGAGTGAAGAGCTGATTTGGATTTTCAGTCTGCTTTTACTGGGAAACCCGGGCAAAGCTGACCCCTCTGGCAGTCTTGCCAAGAGCTCCCAGCTCCCCGTGTAGAGAAAGCAGAGGCCCAGGACCCACCATGATCTTTCCCGGGGTCTCCACCCAATTTACTTTTTACTCTGCCGATAGAAGGCAGTGAGACTTTCAGAGCTTCTGTGCTCTTTTAAAGGAGCTATTTTTTGTCACTAGTTATTGGTCCTCAGGTCTGGCCTTTGGCGAAGCTCAAGCCATCAGCACTGGGAGGGTGGCTCCCTGGGGCTGAGGGGGCGGGGAAGTGGGTACTGGCTGGATCAGAGGAGTCGGAAGGGCAGCCAGTCCCTGGAGGAGAACCCACAGGCCCTGCCTGCCAGGAAGGCTGCTGGGAGCCGCCTTTGATTGCACACTGGTGTGGACACCGTCTCAATAGCTCTTGAAGTCTGGACTCTGCAGGGGGCACAAACTAAACAGGATGTGTGTGTGTTCTGAGCCCTGGGGGCCTGGGGGCGGGGGGGGGGGGTGTCTGGGAGACACTCCAGATGCCCGAGAGCACTTCGGAACCTGGGAGGGAACAGGGCCCCAGGCTCTCAACCCCACCATCTTTGCTGTCATTTAATTCGGATGTAACTGAAAGATAAATAAACCATTTTCTCCATCATACAAACAAGGAAGCAGTTCATGAGTATTTTTGGCAGTATGGCGTTCCCTTCAAGAAAAAGGAGAAAATGAAACTGAAAAACAAACTACACTCTCTCCTCCCATGTAGAAGGAAAATGAAATGTGAGGAGAGAGTAATATTCACCGGAACAGTGAGTGATGAAGCACCTTGAC